ACAAATTTCTCCAAAAGCGATAGATCAAAAACTGTTCACTGAGTATGTTTTTGTTGAGCAGTAAGCGTCTATATGAAGAATCTATGGGACAAGTATTTACTGTATGTGACTGCAGAAAAGCTGAACTAATTCCAGTTTTTCTGTATCAGCAATCATAATCCCGCACCATAGTAAATAGAAATGTGCAAACACTTGACCAGGAGTTGTTGCAGAACTCCTCTGCTCTCTTCCTGTTATCAGCTTGACAGGATTTGACAGCTTTGACTGGAGAAGTTGGGGAATACAGTGGAGAAGTCTTCCCCCTCTGTGTTACATTCAGTCTGAAATGAGCCTCTCTGGCAGCTCTTCTGCACATACCTGCCCTGACAAAAGCACTGCTGTCCTGGCAGAGACTGTTTAGCTTCTTCAGCTCCCTGCCGATCTGCTTCCAGTAAAGTTTAACATTTGAGGCATATTCAGGACAAGCAGTAGGTCTGGCAATATACTCGCAGCTGAAGCTCCTGTCCTCCTTCTTGCATGTGATGCTGAGAATGACAATATCTTCACCTGTGGCAACCCAAGCACATTCGAACTTGTCTTTGGTGACCACTTTGCCTCTCATGAGCTGTGCAGAGACGGGCTTTGTTTGGCGGCCCACTTTTGCTCCCGACCTATTCTTGTGCTGTCCTTTGTCCATGCCTCGTCCCCTCCGTCCACCGCTCTTCTGGCAGCTACCCAACATCACCTGATGGGAAATACAAGCCAAGACCAGGAGGATGGTGACGTTTGTGAGGAGAGCCATGAAATCAGTAGAACACAACCTGCCAAAGGATTAAATCCGATTTAGATATTTGACCTTAAAACCCTTTAATTTCCCTTTGGAGAAAGACATGTCTTAATCCCCCGATAAACCAACGTTTCAAATGGAAACTGAATGTTGTGGGAATAGTTTTGGTTTTAGACAGCACAAAACAGCATTAAGTATTTTTTGTACAGCACATTCAAGACAATTTCAAGTCAAAGAGGTATTTCGAGGAAGAAAAAAAAGAAAAATGCAAAGATGCAATCTAAAAATGATTCCATAAACGGAATTTTGAAAAAAACATGGAGCACATGCACCTTTTAATTTGATTTTAAGAAAGGAAGAGGTTTAAAAACTGTTAAAAAGAGGCACAGATTTAAATACTGATTAAAAAATAAAAATGTAAATGCATCATATTACAATTGTGATGGTGCAATTATCCCTTGATTATGCAGTTATGCAACTATATCGCCTACACTGCAGTATAACTACAACAGTCATAAACAAAATACAGACTAGTATATATTGGAAATAGAGATAAAGACAATGTGTTTAACAGGTATTTTATAAATCTTGAACCTGGCAACAAGGATTTCACAGAATGCATTTTACAAAAACTTAACTGTGAGCACATTAAATATATACTAGGCTGATGTAAGTAGCACACCCCAAATATTATTGCCAGATTAGGGTGCAGCTTAAGTTGTGGTGCTTTTCCTTACCTGAAGTTTTTAGAGAAACTTCGGTTTGCAGTCCTCACACATGAGAGTGTTGCCCTTACTTGCAGATTGCAATATGCTGCCACATAATCACCCCACCCCTTCAAATATATACACTTGCACTCACACGCTCAGTCACACACCCTCACACACACACACAGCATGACTGAAGAGCTTATAAAGTTTATTGAGGTCTAGAATAGATTAGGGATACTTTGAACCTGGTACCTGTGTCATCAAACTAAACTGTGTGGGGGGGGGAAAGACATTTAAAATTACATGGCTGATAGAAAATGAAATTACACTGTCAATTTAGAACCAAAACTTCATCAACCCACAAATGATACAAGTGTTAAACCTGTTTGCAGCTTCTATGGACCTGAATAATCATGAGCACTTGCGAGGCTTATGTTAAGCTCCCAAAACGAAAAGTTATCTGTTGTTCCAGATTTTCTGCTTCAAGTTCCACCTGCTTTAGAATGATCTAAGTTCATATTTTAAACAAATGCAAATAACCTAGAGTCTTAAAGGACCTTCACAGGGCCATCTGTAAGTGCACCGTGCCAGAGATGAAATGGCTTTGAATATCTTGAAAGGAGCCAGATGTTTCTGCTGGATAAAACTGCTGATTGATTGAACTTAGTCTCAAAGCACCAAACACCTAATGGTCACATACGGTCAGTGTTGGGAAGGTTACTTTTAAAATGTATTCCATTACAGAATACAGAATACATGCCCCAAACTGTATTCTGTAACGTATTCCGTTACGTTACTCAATGAGAGTAACGTATTCTGAATACTTTGGATTACTTAATATATTATCATGCT